TGGTACCTGGGAAGGTATCTAGGCTGCCAAAATTCCTCTGACAAGTTCTGCCCAGGGTTGCCTCCTGAGGGTGCTGCATTTTCTGCAGGTAGGCTTTTTGGTCAATGAACCTTTAGAAAACAATCTTGGGCTTCTTGGCCAAGCGACCTTTAGAACTCAATCTCAAGTGATGTTTTTAACTAAGAGTTGCTCAGCATTTAAAGGACAACTGTTCTCTGCATTCTGAAAATCATGTGCTGAATCAGCTGGCCTTGAAGTTTGTCATGCCACATGCATGTAGGTTGCAAGGAGGGCTTCAACTTGGCATTCCTTGAATGAGAGTTTTCTGAGATTAAATACTCATTAATTTTTTTTTCAGAGAAATCTGTGGGTTTTTTCCATAGTAGTTATGGAGACATATGTGATCAATTGTGGCTATGATTGGAAGCCATCAATATACGTGTATAAAAACAACAACAAAAGAAGATATGAGTTGAGTTTAACTACTGCTTTTCAAAGATAACTTTTTCCCAGGAAATGGAAATCGTAGAGGGAAATATGGAGTCTCAGTGCTGTGAGAGAGCGACCAGTGGTACTCCAGCTGAGTGGTTCAGTCTGCTGAAGGAGGGGGAGAGGAATGGCCTCACCTCTGTTCTCCTGGCAGAGAGTACCTGATTTATCCTCAGTGCAAAAGCACAGTTTTTCTAAGAGTAAAAGGTTAGCTTTGGTGATTGAGAAAGAAAATTAAAATGTTATGAAATGCACACAAAGGACTCAGAAAACAACTAAGCAGAAAAAGCCTCAATTTTTCCAGAATATCTCACTTCAGGGCTTTTTAAAAGCAGTCCAGTACTGCTTTTCTGCAGGACAGGTGACCTGTTTTTCACTGCTCTTCAGGGAGGATTTTAGAAGTGCTCTTTGATTCTTCCTGGTGAAATGGAATTAATTCTTTTTTTCATTTCTAGTAATTGTGGTGTTTCCTTTCTGAAAGGAAAAAACACTAGCAGTTTTAGAAGAAAAACAAAACAAAAAGCTGAGACCAAAGCTGTCCCAAAGCCAGTCTCACCAGCAAGATCCCAATAAAGTGCCCAAGCTTGCTTTCTTTTTAAAGTGCCTGTCCCAAGCACTGAAGGAGGCTCTGTAGGATGGCAGAAATTAATATAACAAATTGCAGTGACTATCTCACTTTTATGGAGTATCCTTGTTTCTTGACTATCAACCTGATTTTCTCACAGTTACTCATCCCTAGGAAACTAGGATTTGCAGTGTCTGCGGTGCAAGTGTATTTGTTAGTCTGTGCAATATGCAGCACACTTCTGAGAAGGTCTGCACAACCAGAGGTATCTACAGCCCCTGGCTGCCAGGATGCTCACTCCTCATGCAGAGAAGAGGCACGTAAATGAAAATCAGTGAGAGAGATAGGAACAGTCATCAACACAAAAAGACTGACAGGTTTCACTGGCAAACAAGAGAAGGAAAGAGAGAGTGAGCTTAGGCATGGATATCTTAGGTGCACTAAAGATGCACTGCTGCATCATGCCCGACAACCCCCACTCCTGTTTAGGCCTTCTAAAACCAAACCTGTTTTTACAGCAAAGTTTAAATTTAGGTGTTTTCCATTTTACACAGCTATTCCAGAGGTGGAAAGCAAAACAAAATGTAGGTTTCCAGCCCTTTCTTGCCACATAAAGGGACACAAGAACTTTTCTGTGGTTTTATCCCCACCCACATGGTTAACTTTCTTTGCTGAGAAGCACGGTGCAATTTGTGCTGGAAAAAATTGGCCAGGATATCAAACTGTAAACCATTTAGCATTTACTTATTTTATAGAAGTTTGAGAGAGACAAAACATGTGGTTTGTCCAGTCACATGGTTGAATCACTAGCAAAATGACAGTTTGTGGCAGATCCTCTGGGCTAGACTGGACCTCCTAGTAGACCTATTTGAGCATTCATGACTTGAGGAAGCATTGCTTGAATTTGATTATTAAGGGGGATATGCTAATTTATAAGAGCAGAGCCAGAAAGGAGTTGGATCAGCAGAGCCTAGCAGTCCTGACATAAGCCTCCAGCAGGCAACATGCCCTGTAAAACTTAGGGTCAGTGTCACTGACTCCAGTCATCTTCTAACACTTTATTTTCTTTCCCTGTAAAATAACTGCAACTTGCAACGGCTGTATTGTATTATTTTCCTTAAACCTGTACAAGTTTCACTGGTTGCTGGCTCAAATAGTTCTGCTTAGAAGAGGTGATTGGTCTAGAAATCTAGGGAAGAACCAAGAAATATATTATCAGCAGAGTGTGTCCACCCAGAAGGCAAAGGAGAGCATAAAAAGAGAGACCTCATTTGTGACAGAAAGGATTTCAGATTGCCTCTTCTACCAGCACACAGGGTGTATTGCAGGTGAAGAAATAAAAGGAAAGGAACAAAAAACTCTCCAGATTTTAGCACAAGAAGTCTCTACTTACTCTCTTTCTCACTAACTTCAAAGGCTTTGTCATGCCAGAGTTAGTGTCAGCTCAGCCACCACCAGCTCCAGAGAAGGTGATGTTCAAAGTACTTTACAAAACTTGGCAGAGATCGCTGAGTGTATTGGGTTTGTGTGGCGGAGTTTTGGTAGCAGGGGGAGGGGTGAGGGACTGGCTCTCGTGAGAAGCTGCTAGAAGCTTTCCCAGATCCAAGCTGGACCCGCCTCTGACCAAGGCCGAGCTCATCAGTGATGGTGGATCTGCCTCTGTGACAATGTAGTTAAGAGGGGGGGAAAAAAACCTGCTGGGATCCTGCAGCGGAAAGAGGAGTGGGATGTGGGAGAAACAACACTGCAGACACCAAGGTCAGTGAGGAAAGGAGGGGGAGGAGGGATGATGGAGCAGAGATTCCCCTGCAGCCCATGGTGAGACAGCACCTGTGCCCCTGCAGCCATGGAGGATAACAGTGGGGCAGAGATCTGCCTGCAGCCATGGAAGACCCCACGCCAGAGCAGGTGGCTGCACCCAAAGGAGGTCATGACCCCATGAGAAGCCCAGACTGGAGCAGTCTGTGCCTGAAGGACTGCACCCCATGTGAGAGACCCACACCAGAGAATTTAGTGGAGAACTGCAGCCTGTGGGAAGGACAAACTTTGGAGAAGTTTGTGGAGGACTGTCTCCCGTGGGAGGGACCCCATGCTGGAGCAGGGGAAGAGTGTGAGGAGCCCTCCCCTGAGGAGGAGGGAGTGGTAGAGACAGTGTGTGATGAACTGAACACAACCCCCATTCCCTGCCCCTGTGCTGCTGGGGGGAGGAGGTAGAGAAATTGGGAGTGAAGTTAAGGGAAGAAGGGAGCGGTGGGGAGGAAGGTGTTGTAAGATTTGGTTTTATTTCTCATTATCCTACTCTGGTTTGATTGGTGAAAAATTAAAGTGACTTTTTTTCCCCAAGTTGAGTCTGTTTTGCCTGTGACCGTAATGGGTGAGTGATCCCTCTCGGCCCTTGTCTCAACCCACAAGGTTTTACCTTTTGTTCTTCTGATTCTACTCCACATCTCACTGGTGAGAGGGAGGAGTGAGCAGCAGCTGTGTGGTGCTTTGGTCATCTGGGCCTAAACCATGACACTGAGCTGAGCCAAGCCATTGTAAAAAGAAACGGTTGACAGGAGAGCACAGAATAGGGCAGAAAGGGATTTCTGTGTCTTGTTCTTCTATGAACATAAAAATATTTTTAATTTTCTGCCATTGCTGGTCTGCCTGGAGTACATTCCATTTGCCTCTGTCTGCCCTGAGGTTACCTCCAGCCTTCATCTACTACTTCAAAACTATCTTTTGCTTGCTCAGCTCTAGTATCCTCCTTCTCTTCCTCCTCTTACTTTCCAGACCCTTTCATTGTTTCCTTCTTTCTTCTCTAAGCTGCCCCAGCCCATTGAAGAAGCAGAAAAATTTGAATAAATATAGAACTTTTCCACTTCAGTAGGCATGAGTTACAGAGCGAGCTAATATAAAATATAATTGAAGTCACAAAAATGTCCCCTTGATTTTCATAAAATAAAGGCAGGAAGATGTCCCTGGGACTTCCCTGCTTTTGTCATTTTGATGACACAAGGCACTTCTGGATAAATTTGTTTTAAGCTATGTAGTCTGCTGTTCTCTGGAGTTCCCTCTGAAATCCCCTCAACCATTGTGAAGGCAAGTGGTCACAGCAGACTTGCTAACATGTTTTCCTCATAAAAATAAAATTGTGTGTGAATGGTGTAGGTACGTCAGTCTCAAACAAGTAGCGGGTTAGCTGCTGGAGA